TCCCAGAACATTGTATTGTGCCACGCCCAACAGAAATAACCCAGGTGGGCGACTTTAAAATCAGGATCTCCTCAGTTGCTAATAGCAATTCCCACCTTGGAGTTTACAAAGTCTTATGGGTAGAAAAGCCACACTAAGTAATTTACTACACCGCAGGTAGGATTCAAAAAACTTAGTTTTTGTCAAATAATGAACAAAATTCTTAACACAATCTTTTGAATAAAGATTGGGACAACATTTTCAAACCAATCAAAAAATTAAAATGTAGTAATGCTGACATGAATGAAAATTTTAATTTAAACTTAGCTCTAAATTAAATGATTTAACCAGCTAAGATATGTCTTTATGATGCTCCTCCCTCTCTGCTTGGTCATCTTGGGTGAACGTCTCAGTCATCAGGATATAAATGCCCCTTGTAGCATATTGGAATATGTGACCCTAAGCTGGGTATGAGTCCTAAAGCAGAGGAGAACAGGTGACAGATAGATAGATATTCCCTAATATCTATTAGGGAACTTGCAGCTAGTACGTAAGAAAAATTTCCAACAATTTTAAAGCCAAATAACCTGATGCTTGAAAGATACATTCAATTTCTAGCAAGAATTTAGCTCCACAATAAGTTCTAGGAATGATTTAGAAAATAACATCTATTGGTGCTCTACTAAAAAACCATTTGTATGAGTTCAAAAGGTCAACATTAATCTAAAGCAAAGATGAAAAGATAAGAGGGCAGGGAAACTAGAGTACTAGAAATGGAACAACCAGAACACAATAAAGAACATGTTGACACCTTGTGAAAAATGTAACTAATGTCATGGATCAGTTTGTGTGGAAGTTTTCAAATAGGAACTTAACTTGCTATTGCCCAAAAAGACAATAAAATATTATTTTAAAAATTGCATCTAATTACGTCTGGGCAAAAGACAAGGTTCATTTATGCTCTTGTTGATATGGATTGTTAAAAAGGGAACTGAACTATATCTGGATTTTTGTTTCCTGAACTATTTAAATGCAGTCAGCTTTATTATCTTGTTTTATGGCTTTCATAAAGAATTATTTTTAAAAGAAAATTTTAGGACGTTTATGATTCTGTTTTCTGCCTCTATTAGACGGGAAGACTGTGTGTTCCATGTCCAAGGGATTTACCATTCAGAGAACCCTGAAATCAGTCCTTTTGAGGAATTAACACTCTCCCTGAAAGTTAAATCTGAAAATCTAAACATGCCAAATGATTTTAGAAAAAGTTTTAAACACACATAAAAGAAAGAGACTGAGTTAAGAACTTAAAATGGATGTGATTTTTAATTTGTAGGTAACTCAATTCCATAGGAAAGAAACGTTGCACACTAATATCCTGAGACACGTGGATTTCTATGTCATGCCAGTGATTAACGTGGATGGTTATGAGTACACCTGGAAAAAGGTATGTGAAGGCAAAGAAAACAAAACATTCGTCATTTGGAGATACAGAATATCTAGGCTGAATTAGTCATAGACTCCTGGGTCCTTGGCACAATGGTTTCATTATAAAAATATAAATTATAATTTTTATTGTGGAAGATTTCAAATATCTAGAAAAGTAAGAATAATTGTGAAATAAACTATGTACTTGTCATGTAGCTTCAACAGTGATCAACTCATGACCAGTCTTTCATCTATTTCCCCATCCATTTCTACCCTACAGTACTATTGTGAAGCAGATTGATGTCATTTCATCAATAAATATTTCAGTATGCATCTCTAAAAGAAAAACACAAATCAAACCGCTTCCATACAGTCAATTCCGACCATGGTGACCCTATAGGACAGAGTAGAACTGCCCCCACAGGTTTTTCAAGGATGTAAATCTTTACAGAAGTAGACTGCCATGTCTTTCTCCCATGGAGTAGCTAGCTGGTGGGTTCAAACAACCTACCTGTAAGTTAACAGCTGAGTGCTTAACTACTGTGCCACAAGAACTCCTTGTGCATTTATGTATAAGTTCACTACTGTTGAGTCAATTCCTACTCATAGTGACCCTCTATGACAAAGTAGAGCTGCCTCACAGGGTTTCCAAAGCTGTATGAGTGCCACATTTTTATCCCCCAGACTGCCACATTTTTATACCCCAGAGTGTCTGGTGATTTGAACCACTGACCTTTGATTAGCAGTCAAGTACTTAATCACTTGTGTCACTAGGGTTCTTTCTAAAAGAAAAAGGCTCTTAAAAAAAAAAAAAAAAAAAGATGACCACAATACAATTGTACATAAAGTTTAGTAATAATTACTTATTGATAATCATCAAGTAGATAGTATGCAGAATTCAAATTCTCAAATGTCTCACTACTTTTTGAATCAGTTTTTTCTGTGATTCAGAATTCAAGTAATCTTCGTGTGTTATTTTGCTTGTTGTTGTTGTTTGCCATCAAGTCAGCCCCGACTCATAGTGACCCCTCCTTGGGTTTCCGAGGCAGTATCACTATGGAAGTAGGATTGCCCAACCTTCCTTCCGAGGAGTGGCTGGTGAGTTTGAACCGTCAGCCTTCTGGTTAGCAGTCAAGTGCCTTAGGCA